CACCTTCTTACATCACACTGTAACACAGTACTGTACACCTTCTTACATCACACTGTAACACAGTACTGTACACCTTCTTACATCACACTGTAACACAGTATTGTACACACAGTACAATAATGTAATGTACACAATATTCCTTAAGGTAATGGAGACAGTACTGTGCACGTTCTTACATCACACTGTAACACAGTACTGTACATGTTCTTATATCACACTGTAATGCAATGCACTATTAAACCATAATGTAATGGAAGCAGGTACTGTACATATATATATCATAATGTAATACAGTCAGTACTGCATACAGGATTACACCATAATGTAATGGAATCAGAAACTGTACACAGTTTACAGAATAATAATAATATCCTTCAGACACAAAAGTACTACATTTCCTGTACAATTTTTACATTAGTTTACAGCATTTTGTATAAATAAAATAAAATCCAAGTTTCTCACAATAACAGCTTTTGTGACCAGCTAAAAATTATTAAATGCTTTTGGTTTTTATTCATTTTTCAATAACAGTCTTCAACTTCATTGTTGTAGATGGCAGCAAGATAGCTCGATCTGTTGCCCACTCGATTTCTTCCTGGCCTTGAAGACGGTTGAACTTTAGTTACACACGAGTTTGCTTCTCTTCCTTCAACCTCAGCAACCTCGTCAACTTCTCCTAGAGTATTTTCAGCAAATGATTGCTCTTGACCTACTCTGGACCGTAGCAAGTCAACGTACGTCTTATATCTCTGCAGCTGTAAGAAGACCAAACCTACCTTAGGCAAATGTACAATGACCCATAAATGACTTACGTAAACCGGACTTCACCTAAGGTTATGTGCGTTGTAACTTAACCGGTTAGGTGACCTCTAGTATTGGTCAAGTTAGAAATAAATTTTTTAAAATATTTAATGGTGGCAGTTACCGTGAAACAGCTTGTTTCTGTTGAGGTTTACACGTACAAACTGCACAAAATAAAATTGGTTTATTTTGCTCAATACAGTGAGATGTTCAATGGAATTAATTGTTTCTGAATCAAATAGTGAATTCTAATTATTAGGGTTTATTAAACAGAGCCAACAACAGATCTTAGGAGCCAAGATAGTAGCTTAACTCAGTGAGGGGTAAAAGGAGTCATCCCCATCTTTGGCCAAGAAAATCTGTAGCCCAGTCTTTAGACATAAGCAAAATATAAACACTGCTTTATTAAGCAATTTAATGTTGAATGCTTTGAAGGTGAACCAATTACACAGTCTTCTCTGTGCATCGTTCATTTCCAGAAAGCCCAAAGAAACTTTCAGTGTCAACTGTCTCTACCTTGTCTTGCCAAGAGAGACCTTACTGACAGTCAAAGAGGTAAATCAAAAAACTTTGTAGAACTATATTAACTTGAACACATCTCTTTTACACTATTACCATTTACTGCTGTACCAACCATTCTGTGTTGTTTAATTATACCATTAATATTACTACGTACATGCGTATGCAAAATTAACTTAAACTTTTCCAGATGTCAGGTCACTTTTCGTGTATGGGGCACGACGACCTGCACTCGGCAAACCCTGATAATTACAATTATGAAGATTATTTAGCTTTTTATAATCCTCTAATCCTGCTGAAAATATTGTCAAAAGTGAGGGTTCTCGGCCGATGAATCGATGCAATTTAATCAACTTTGAAAACTAAGGAAAACAAACAGATGTATCTGCTTAACGATGTCTTTAGTGGCAAACTGTATTCATAATAAATATTTGTAAAATGTACAATTATCCTCAATTTTTATAATTATGAAGTTTCACCAAGTACTGACAGTCATATTAGATGTAAAGGTTCTGGTATAATGATTTCTAACAAGTATTTTTTAGCATTATAAGTTAATCACCGTTCTACTAAGGAGAAAGAGGGCATCAGTTTGTTCTATGGGACTGTCCTTATTAAGATACATAAATGGGATGATTACAAAGACATATCCTACAAATTACTTATCCAATATTTCACGTAGACTATCATAAGTTTATCCATCTTCTTCAATAAACCAGACACCCAATACATAGTTTATCCATCTCCTTCAATAAACCAGACACCCAATACCTGGTTTATCAATCTCCTTCAATAAACCAGACACCCAATACATAGTTTATCCATCTCCTTCAATAAACCAGACACCCAATACATAGTTTATCCATCTCCTTCAATAAACCAGACACCCAATACCTGGTTTATCA